ACTCCTTGATGAGGTCTTAGGGAATCGAGACGGAAACCGACCTGACTGGATACATGGTACATAAAACCTAACCCGCATGCGTTCCAAGGCTATCTTGCAGCTCAACGACAACAACCGATCCATTAACCACGCTACATTAGCGGGGAGGAGTTCTTTTGAGAAATTACAAACGCAAGTCTGCTCTAACACGTACCTACACGACCACACAGCTGCGAGTCCTCCACAACACACGTTGATTGCTTTCGACAACCATGAGTAGCTCGATAGACAGTTCGTCCTCTCACACGCCTCAGCAATTCACGTGCAGTTGCGGTGACACACATTGGCAGGACTGATCCTCGGTTGTCTCAAAGGGTAGCTGAACACTTCCCAATGTGGCTAGGGCAATCGTTGAGGCAACAAGGGGGAGCGGATCAAACATTGAACAAGAACCCCTCCTCATCTATCGATAGACGCTTTATGGTGATGCAGCATCCGGCGGACCCGATCAACTCTCTCGAAGTGTTATTGCGCAATAGTAATTCCAAACTGTTGGCAATCGGTGAAGCATTACTGATAAAGATGAATCGTCCAGTGCTCTGTGTCCAGAAACAACTGGGGCAATCAACTAGATTGCTATGGACTGGATTTCGCCATACATAACAATTTTGATTTTCCGTATCTGTTACTAGGCTACCACCCCATATATCTCCGCGCGTTTCTTGTTGGTATTATGTTGCGACCGAAGACAGCAATCTAACCGTCGACATTTCATTATATATGTCTGCTTACTGCGTCAATGAAGTGTACAAAGGTGACTGTTTCAAAATTGCAAAAAGCATATGGATCAATCGGTGCAAGGGCCCTTTTGATGTCTAGGGACACGACTACGGTGTGTCGTCAGTAAACATGGCGGTGCTCCAACAATTGACGCAATGTGAAGATGTGGTCAACGCAGCTTCGATTTCGACGACATCCGGCCTGCTCCTCGCGCATCTGGCTTTCATGAATGCCAGTCAGTCTATGGAGGATGACAGACGCAATGGAGATCAGAGTGATTTCTCTATGACTGCCGCATTCCGAACGGGAGCCTCCGTTGAAAATTGGGACTAAAACGAAGCGGATCCAGTCCGACGAGAGTAGCCTGCTCCCATGGATTCACTAATAATTTATGGGAATCGTCCGAAAGAGTAGGACCCCCAAATTTGAGGGGCTGGATGTAGTCCATCTGCTCTGGCGGCCTTGTTCAATTTCAAACGTCTGCTCTCACGTTCTATCTCTGCGCGTGAGAGTGTATCCAACGAGGCAGCCCTGGGAGTAGGGCGCTCATTGGCCGATGGAGAAGCTGGCAACTCTGACTGATTAAATTGATTCCCAAAATGTTCTGTCCAACGCTCCAAGCGCATTGTCATGCTGTGGATTGGTTGCCCATTTTCGTCGCATATAGCCTCGCTAACACCAGGGCTCTTGCTGCCCGTTTCTCGTATCAGACAGAATAACCCCCGATGGTTAGCAAGGGCAGCGGCTGTCTCCATTTCCGATGCACGATGAGACCACCACGCTTCGCGGTCTTTCTTCAGGTTAGTACGCAGTTTCGCCCTGAGAGCTTTGCGAGCCTTATTATATTCACTTCCAACCAGGACACGCCGGTGAGCGTCCATAAATTTCAGAGACTGCATAGAAACCCAATGTACAGCTTGGCAACTTGATTTGGCACATGAAGACGTGTCCGCTGCTAATAACCTCTGGCAGATATGGGAACAGTGATCAGCAACTGTGTACAGTGAGTTCTTACCCAGGTCAGATGCCAACGTACTTTGGTTTGCATTCTGACTTCGCCAGTTGGCAAGTACTTACGCCCTCACAAAGCCGTTACGGACGTCCGCTGAAACACACCTAATCGGCACAAACAAGTGTGTGGTCAGAGTCCACACTCGTGCTCCAAATCGGGCGACAGTTTTGTACACATGCTCTCCAGCGGTAACTGACCGCGATGTGATCAATTTGTGTCTATGGCTGTCCGAGGTTGGTGGGCGCCATGTCACACTTCGGCGGGTGCTGTGTCTGGGGTTTGCGCTCGCGGGAAATAGAAGAGAATACTCACAGTTATCAGTAGGGGGCATACACCGGGTTGGGCCCCCAGATGAAGCTCATGAGTGGACAGATTTCCAAACTGGGCATTTAAATCACCAGTCAGCACCATAGTATTTGCACTTTTTCTGTAACAGAGGAGCACGTCGATTTTATGATAAAATTCGTCTTTTACCGAGTCAGAGCTACGATTTGTGGGCGCATAGGCCGTAATGACATACAAGCACCGTTTGTGCCCATGCAACTTCGATGCTTTGAACAAGCCAGCCAACCTGACAGCGCACAGCCGGCTGTTCATTTGTATCCAATCGATCAAGGCAGATCCAGCCCGAAGGCTAAGAGCAATGCCCACACCGGCTTGACTGGCATTTGAAGCCGCTTCATCTTCGGAAAAAAAACCCAGTGTCGAACGTTGAGGATCGCAGGGTAATCACAGAAGACAAATTCTGCAGGCGATTTTCTGATAAGTAGCAGATAGCCATTGATAAGGTCTCCAGTGTTCGGGTAAGTGCTGCCTATTGACTAATATACAACAAAGTGCGCACGTTGAGACATGACAGTGCTAGGGAGGATTGAGGGCTCCAAATAGAGGGAAATGAACTGACGTTGTCCGTTTGGCTGGACATGAATTTGTCGACTAGACCGGAGCGACACTCTGCAATTGCGTGTAAGTCGAAACTAGAAGATGAACGGTTACTGAACCAAGGTGGGTGAAGGACAAGAATTAGGGATTGAAAACTGGGGGATAAAAGTGAAGTTGGAATGGGACGATAAGGATGAAAAGTTCAAGAGAGGGAAGAAGACGGGAAGGCTTGAGCAGTAACATCCAAACCCGTATCCACCGTGCTCAATGCAACATAGGGCGCCGTTTATTATCCTTTTGGGCAGCCAGAGCATAAAGAAATTGTTTGAAGGTCATTGTGTTGTATTACTTGGGTGGAAAACTGCCACGTTGCCCAGACCTAGATAATAGTAGCAGTGGTAGTAGTAGTAGTAGTAACTTCAACATTCTAATAAATAGTCATAGGGCCTACAAAACCATGGAGATTAGCAGTTAAGGGGCAGAGTCGTCGCGTCATAATCATGGTGACACATAGTTTAAGAGGTGCAACACACTTCAGCTATTGTGCAGCCAAAAGTAGAACAAAACATTTTAGTTTGTTTTTCACAACCCGATTTTTCTCTTTTTTGTCATTTTCAATGTGTGAAGTAGTAAACATGTGAATTAATACAATGCTACACACAATTCTTCCACTGGTTCTGGTTGTGGGCCGTGTTCAAGCGTGTTAAGCCATCGGCACTCCTCATCCTAGGGTCCTCATCTTGGAAGACGTACGGGTCCAACGGCGACTAAACGCGACATCAGCGATTCCATATGCTGTCGCCAAGTGGAAGGCTGACCACCACAAGGGTCGTCTCCAGCCAGGTCATTGACGAGAGAATAAAGCGCGACGCGGTAGGCGCTCAGGTGCCATGCGTAGGACGTGACCGAATCATCTCAACCGGCGCAGCAAAACAAGTTTGCTGAAGGGAATACTCGCATTCCCTAATTAATTAATAATTAACATGATCGATCCTCCTTAATTAACCATTGTCGAAGGCAGTAAGCTTAGACAGGAGAACGATAAGGGTTCGCAACAAAGCCCCTGGTTCACAACCTGACCGCTAGACAACGGGTTCGGGGGTGGGCTACAAGGAGTTCGTTTTAAGGAATAAAGTCATTCACATCTTAACCCCCAAGTTGGAGAACCAGGAGGCTGAAATTGCGAGGCCTCTAAACATTGAGCAATCTTGTATGGGTGGCTCCGAAAGTGCAAAAGCACCACCCAGCATAGCTCAATGGATCGTTGAGGCACGCAAACCATCGCACGGCGTTAAGGTCGTCTCGTCGCCGGAAGCAATAGGCGACGTTGTTGGACAACGCGCAGCCACAAACAAGTAGCCAAATTGTGACAGGTGACAGCCTCCATGTGAGTTCTACTAATGCTGTTAGAACGAACCTATTCTTAAAGTTGGTGTACACATATTAGAGTGATGGTTTGGCCAGGAAGCAAGCAGTAAGGCGGGTTGGCTGTGATCTAAAGGGCTACAAACGGTGCAGGAAGGGGTGCGGTGGTCTACCTATAGAAGATGTAATAGCTTCCAGGTTAGATTACACAAGAAAGGAAGATACATTTTTACGCGTAACGCTCGATCGTAGCGCTCTATGACCGATTTTACGATTGGCTGTAGTTGCCAGGTTTAGATAGCGTAAATGCGGATTGATCAAATACGTGGAAACTAATGCCTGATATCTTTAGTTGTACGGCACAAGCTGCGGACAACGCCTGTCACAACGGCCAATGCTTCAATGCAATTTCATTTGGGACACCTGTTGTGTGAATACAGTGCGAGACCTAATCTCTATCCGGATCGTGATGCATTTAGAAATGAAGCTTGATCAGCATGACTACTGGGACTGTATCAGATACAGATAAATGTTAGGTGTTATGCGAGCATTAAGTGCTGTGCTAAGCACTGTCCGCAGTCGGTGGCGTAAGGGTAACGATGTCAACCGGTAATCCCAATGTTCTGGGTTCGTGTTAAAGTGCTGCTATCTCTAGCTGATGCCTGAATACCAATAAGAACCCAGTCATGGAGAGTAGCGTTTAGAGCGAGTAAAACCCAACGGTTATCGGATTCAGATTGAACGTATCGGGATTGGCTTCAACGTTAAACGTGGTCCAAATTCAGATTGCGTGCAGCAACCTATTCACTAAAATGGTGCTCCCAATAAAACCACAATGAAAGTCTAGTAAATATACGGTGATTGGGAATATGTGTGATAATAGTGAGACAAGCATTCCGTAAATTAACGACAACCGTTTTCCCGTGGAAAGAATACGGGACTACTGTTACACTGTGGATTGCAAACATAGAAACAGAATTACCATGCGAATTTTGATGCCCGGAGGCAAGGAAACGTATGCAGGTCGGGTTTCGTCTGCAACAGGATCTCCGTGCTCGTTCGGGGAACATTTCGATGCCTCTAAATGTGGTTCTTTTGGTGGGGCTGGAGATCCAGAAGCTGAAACAGATTCGGATGTCTTCCGGCCAATGGCTCCCTCGTCGTTGCATCCGAAGGTCAGGACACGACCTCCCGAGGTTAAACAAACTGTATGCATACCACCGGCACATACTTGGACAGTGAGTGACTCAAGACCGACTTCGTCCACTCCAAGTGCAGTTAAGCTCGTGCTACCGAATCGGGATGGCCTAGACCGTTGGGTTATATCAGGCCCTAGTCCAAGCTGACCAGTGTCGCCAACGCCACATACCAGAACTAAGCCAGGGACGCTGAATGGTATGTTGAAGGTGACAGGTTGCTTTGGATTGCACGCAGGTTGCACCAAAGGTGATCGAGGATCGGAAGCCTGATCGACTAAACGAAAGATAAACATAGACAAAATGAAGGCTAACATGTACCAGTATATACGATGGGATAACTATGAGGAGATGCCACAAAAATTGTAAAGCGACCAGGGACATCGAGAGGATAGTCTAATCTCATTATCCCCTAACGCTCTGGAAAACGAACAAAACAGTGTGAACACTGTTCAATTTGATAATCGTACACTGCGAGGCAGCCCGTTTGCGATACACAATAGGAGATGAAGTTGCGAACGGACTGTTTGACTTGGCAATGCATCAGCAAATTTATCTATACCAGGAAGGAAACAACTAGACAACTGGAACTGGGATCAGATTCAATGCATAAAAGTCAGTAAAGTTAGGATGTCAAAATTCTAAGTATAGCTTGAAATGGGGTATAAATGCGCAAGTTCAAGCAATCAGCGACATAGGTTGGATTAAGAAAAAAAGTGAACACGGTAGAAAGACGTGGCATGTCAAATTCAGATCGCCGATTAGACTGCGCAGTAGCACTGACGCTGGTGTAGCCTTTCGTTGGGAAGCGAGACGATAATAAAGTCAATACAATTGCCTAATGCCATGATTGCAGATTAGCCCAATTAAGTAATATCATTGAAGAAAACGAGTACCACTATCAGCAAGATGGACAGCAGTCACGAAACACCTCAGAAGCTGATAGGTCTGCTATACTATTCCCCATGATGAGTGTCGTCTCCATCACCTTGGTCATATGACCGAGGTGCAAATTAATTCATTCATTCAATATACACGTTAGGTAGAGATGGAAAACACCTCAGCCATTGTGCCGCAGGACGTAAGAGAAGAGGGAAGACCGGTAACCGAGACACGCTAGCTGAGCAACCAGTAAAGGATTGACATCGCCAAGTAAAAGTACCAGCCGGTATTGTGTCGCAAAAGAAGATTACGCAAGATTTGTAATATGCTAAGAAATGAGATCGGGGTTGGAAGGAAGACTAAGCGGGAGAGGAAGGGACAAAGAAACACAACACAAACTCCACTGATATCGACTCCTAGCCTTGTCAACAATTTTATCCAACCAAACGTGTTTATCGTCTTTCGGACACCAACCAGAGAGTCGAGAGGCTCAAATCGAAGCCAAGTTGGAAGAGGCCTTTATTAATCTTGACCAAGTAATCGCTTGGCCACCTCTCCTCTTCTCCAATCCACACCACAGCACGAAAATAACGCACGTCGCAAGAGCCGGTGGGCTGGTATGCGCAACAAGTGGCAGAGCTATCGGAGCCTAGTTCGTGAAATAACGGTGCTGAGCGGCTCATTTTTCTCTTCCTGCGCCATAAACAAGGGCCTCTACACAGTCTCTGGAACTTATGGATGCTCGCCGACGTATTCCGGCTGGGACCGGGCAGCAGAAGACCTAGTGTTATTGAAACTGTACATGAGGAGATTGGACAACCTATGCACAACTTGTCAAAACGTTTAGAGTGTTGGGCTGAGTATTTTGAAAAGCAATTTAGTCGACCGGAATTGTTAGATCTCTCCCCGCCCAGTGATCGCGCTTCTTCCTGGGCTGTCCCTTAGGATCCGCCCTCACGCTCAGAAGTCGAACGTGCGATCGAACTGTTGAAATTGAATAAAGCCGCGGGACCAGATGATCTTCATCAAGTCCTCTTCGAATTCGGGGACCCTGCTCTAGTTGATAATTTACACGGATTTCTAGTGAAACTGTGGAAGCGGAAAACTGTCTCAACCGACTGGAGCCGCTCCGTTATTGTCCTGATCTTCAAAGGAGGCTCGCGTTCGGAATGCGGTAACCACATAGGAATCAGTCTGATCTCCATCGCCTCCAAATGGTTTGTTCCTGTAATTCTTCACAGACTGACGCGCCAGTGAGAAGCAAACCAGGTTTCGCAGTGGTCGGGGATGCATTAACCATATATTCACATTACGTTAGTTGCTGGAGCGCCGTCACTTATATTGGCGGGCCATTGTTGTGTTCCTCGATATCAAAGGTGCATTCGATTCAGTGGATCGACGTGCTCTTTGGGACCTTACTAAAGGTGTGCACGAGAAGTGTGTAAATATTATGCAGGCGCTTTAGGCGCGTAGCTCGGACAGAGTGGGGGCTTACGACAAGTTGTCTCCAGTGGTGTAAGACAAGGATGCCAGCTGTCACCTTTTCTCTTCAACTTTGCCATTGACGAAGTCATAGAAATCGCGTCCACAGGACAGGAGTTAGGTGTGGAGCTGCTCCCAGATGAACGACTTCTTGACTTGGAGTATGCTGACGATATTGCCCTCATCTGTGACAGCTCCCAAACGAGCCAAGCGGCACTGGCCAGAGTAGCACTGACTGTCCCGTTTCGGGCCATGCCTTGTGTTTTCTAAGTGCAAAGCTTTCCTTGAAGACTGGCAGGGACCGCCTCCTGTGCTGACCCTTGGTGGAGATCAGCTAGAAGTCGTTTAAAAGTTCAACTACCGCATAGCAAAAGATCGAGGCGTTTTTGATAACCTTCGCTACCTATTGCGTCCGCGCGACATCAACTCTCCCTGAACGGTAGAGCATACAATTAAACGTACGTTCGACCCTACTGTCCGGTTGTGAAACAATGCCCCTTCAATCAGCGGAAATACAGAAGCTAGTTGCGTTATACCACCGGCGCCTTCGAAGTTTGGCTCGTATCTGGTGGGAACACCATGTGAACAATGAGCGCGTTCGACGCGTTGTTTATGGCGAAAGAAGAAGCGAACCGCTTAGCCCCGTTATATCACGAACCGGGCTCCGTTGGTTGGGCCACGAGTTGCGTATGCCAGCCCACCGACTCGGGTGAGATGCGTTGGTTGCGCGCCGGGGTGTGGATGGAAGAGGAGAGGTGGCCAAGCGATGACTTGGTCAAGAGGAATGAAGGCTCTTACTTCGAAGATGGCTTGGCTGGAGCCTCTCGGTTCTCTGGTTAGGAACCGAAGGATATTAAACACATCCGGTTGGATACTCTTGTTGAGATGGCAGGCGGCAGACCTCAGTGGCGTTTGCGTTGTGAGCAGGGCGGTCGCAGACTGTTCTAACCACATGGATATTAACCTAACGCCAGTTGTGACAAAATTACTGGCCTCAATTCTCGTTCCTCCCCTCACTCTGGAACGGGAATCTCGAATTAAGGAAGAGCAGACAGGTTTCCGCCCAGGACATGGCTGTATAGACCATATATTCACACTGCGGCAGGTGCTGGATAAGCGCCACGCATACCGCAGACCGACAATAGTTGTGTTTCTCGATTTCAAGAGCGCGTTCGATTCAGTCGATGGATGCACTCTGTTCGAAATACTTGCACAGAAAGGTGTTCCCAGTGCAGATCGCGTCAGGGTCTACGGTGACTTGTCGGATAGATTTCCGACCACAAGTGGCGTTCGTCAGGAATGTCCGATTTCCCCGTTTTTGTTCAATTTTTTCGTGGATTCTATCATGGAGTGTTCCCTAGCGGAAACTCACGATGTGGGCGTTGAACTGCTGCATGGTGAAAGGTCAGTTGATCTTGACTATGTGGATGATATCGTCTTGCTTTTTGACGACGTTGCGGTAGCCCAATCAACCCTGAATAGTCTGTCTAGAGTGGTCCCATTATTTGGTATGCGCTTCGCATGTTCAAAGTGCAGTGTGTTGCTGCAGGACCACCAGCCACTTGGTGACCCTTGACTCTTGATAACGAGAAACTCTAGGTGGTTGATCGATTCACTTACCTTGGCAGCTGCGTCAGCAATGATGGGCGCATAGAAACCGACGTCAGCTCACGCATTGCAAAAGGCAGAGCTACCTTCTTGAACCTGCGGCACCTTTGGCGACAGAAGGGTTTCCCTCCGTCTGAAAGGCCGTGTGTACAAGGACACAGTGAGGGCCGTTCTGCTCTATGGTAGTGAGACTTGGCCCCTACGGTCTGAAGATCTGATGCACCTTCAAGTCTTTGATCATCCTTGTGCGAAGCATTGCTGGTGTCCGATGGTACCAGCGTGTCCGCAACGGTGATGTGCGTAAGCGAGTACTTGGTAAAGATAATCAACAAATAGCACTAATTAAGTTGCGTTGGCTTGGGCACATGTTACGTAGGCCTGGTCACCGCTTACCTAGGAGGGCCTTGTTTAGTCTGCCAGGTGTAGGGTGGCGAAAAGCTCGAGGTGGACAGAACGTGACTTGGCAGCGGGAAATGTAGTCACTGACGACCAAACTGGGTGCTGTTGGTCCGGTCTGGAGTACACGTGACTCGCCTTGTGCTTGGCTTGAGACTTTACAGGACGATGTTCGCAACCGACACTAGTGGTGCGTTTGCTGCCGTCTCTAAGTTGGACTGCCTGCTTAAAGTGTGTCTGTGCTAAGTGATCTGCCGAATAATAGCTGATTATGATGTGAGGCAGTGGAAGCCGCAAGGAAGCTGTCTCGCCGATGCTGCCTTATGTTTGCACGATATCCTAATGATTGTGGCGGTACTTTGCTAACACAAGGTGTAAGGGCCTTGACGCTAAATGTATGCTTAGGACAATAAGGTTTCTAGGTAATTCTGATAAGGCTTTCAACCCAACAGTTAACAAGCTACGTAGCAGAGTCTAGTCCGGAAAAGCACCAGACAAGTTTCGCACTATTGGGGCTCGTTAGTAGTGCACATTCCCTCGGTCCTCTAAGGAGGATCGAAACCATGACCGCTAGAGGCGGATGCCAACTAGCCAACAGCTTAAGCCACTGAGCCATGGGGGACGTTCAGATTCAGATTCAGATGGACTGAAACGATAGGAAAATCCCTTGAGTGTTCCTTCTTGAGCAAATCGTTGAGCCAGGAAATGATAAGGTGCTAGTTCTTGATAGATCTAAAACGAAACACCCGAAACACACCCTGGTCAACCAATTACTGCCCACGTTCCCTGCACTAGCAGTCCGCGCTGTGTAGGTTACATGAAGTAAGAAAGAAGTAGAAAGTAAATGGAAGATAGAGGGAAATGAAAGTCATGAAAATGAAGGATAACACCAAAGAGTGAAGAGAATGA